GGGGAGAAGGTCTGGAAGGCTGGAGGAGGCAGCAGCAGCGACCCAACCAGCAGCAGCAGGTGCAGGAGCAGTTTCAGAAGTGGTGCCTTCAGTAGCAATGGGGACCTGGTGGTCCGGGGAGCGTCGGCCGTAGCAGTGGCCCTGGCAGCTAGGGGGCATGTCGCGGTGGCCGCGACGTTGGCCCCTGCAAGTACCGGATCCTGACTGGTACGGGTACATGCACTACATGTGGGCGCCTCGACCACTCCGCTCTGCGCTGCTTCAGTCTCCTCGACGTCCTCTTTCGCGACCGTTCAGTCTCCGCTCTGCGCTGCTTCAGTCTCCTGACAACTGAGCAGCGATCGACGAGGGGAGCTCGGCGACATCATATGCCAGTTCTGGTCGACGGAATGGGTCCGTCGACGAGGGGGTAGCTCGACGGGAGCTGTGGTCGACCAGAGGGACCTGGTGGTCGACCAGAGGGACCCAGTGGTCGACCAGAGGCACTGGTGGTCGACCGGAGCACTTGGTGGTCGACCAGGTCGACCGGGTAACCTGTTCGACGAGTTCTGCGGAGGCACGCGAACGTCGTCGAGGTCGCGATGGCGAAGGCGACTTCGGGCTGGTATCCCGAAGTCGATGTGGTTCGTCAGGTGCAGACAACAGCCGACGGATGCACAACGGTGCAAGTCGGGCCAATCGTCTGCGTGCACCTTCGAGCGTGCGCACTGGTGTCTTCTACGGGGCAACGCTGGACAGCCGTTTTGCTGCAGCGTTGGCAAGCCGTCGACCTGCAGTGTTGGCAGGTCGCCCTTCTGCAGTGCTGGCGCGGCTCCTCTACGCAACGCTGGCAGGCGGTCGAACAAGCTGTGCTGGCGGTCGACCAGGCTAGCTGCAGGGTTGCTAGGTGCCTGATGTAGTCAATTCTGTCATTGCTTGTTCAACTATTCTGTAATTCCAACTTTGCCTATTGAAACTCTTGCCGATTTCTCCCGTATGCGCAAGCACTAAGGAACTAAGCAAAGCTACGATCACTCCTAGTTGTTCGTGCCAACCCCCGTAGTCTAGCTCACTACCGTTGTAGAGTGACTCTCCGCAAAAACAACACCAAAATAATAGTGCCTAGGTGCCAACAGAACCTGCCAATGTTTTCTCTCTTCTTTGGCGATGTGCCGCGTGTGTCATTCAGGACGTGGGCCCAATCGACTCTGATCGGCTCTGATCTGATCGGGTCGGATTTGATCGGGTTGCTTGTGATCGATTTGCTCGAGCTGCCCGATCAGTGATGGTTTTCCAAGGAAATTCGTTGCACCTGCTCGGCAAACGCGGTACGATTACCTGGCACTTTCGGTACAATTTTAGCGAGAGTGGCGACCAAACGACCTGGCGAATATTTTTTGTTTCCCAGTAATATCGCAAACACCACTCTCCACACCGAGGGGTTAAAGCTCCAGTATACATTTGTCAGCAAGGTTCAGGGTTTTACAGTGTGCCTCACAGTTTTGAGGCAACTTTTCAAGTTCCTAAGTATTTTGAACCCCTCCTTTCAAATGTATACCGGAGCTTTAACGAGATCAAGTACAATAGAGTAACACTTAGGGCGTGGAACATTGTAACGACCACGCCAAATGGTCGGATGTATGGTTGTTTCTGGCGATTGCGAAGAATTTAGGGAAACCGCATTGACTGGCACGCATATTAGTCACCCTGACTTGACCTAAAATCAGTGGTATCTCCCGTAAGTTTTTAGGGGTCTCTACCCACACTATCCATTAAAAGGGAACAGTATTTTACTTCCAGTAATTACCCCCGAATGTGTTTGACTCATTTCCGCTCCCCCAAACATCCCACACCGCTTTCGAATGCGTAAAGTCGAATTTAAATGTTTCTGATTATTGGGGGTGGTTTTTAGTGGGTGCCCTACGTTCTGGCGAACAGAATCACATAGAAATCTCGCAACCTTCGCATCTCTGTTACACCCTTCGCTTTCGCCTGACGCAACAATATGGGCGACCATTTGACATGGTCGTTACAATGTTCCACGCCCTTAGTAAGCATCTCTATGGTCCCCGAACCCATGCAATCAGGTGATCGCTTGTGATTGACCAAAATTGTGTTTGATTGGGGTGACAATCGGCTCTGATCGAGTTGGGGCGATCAGTTGATCGCGATCAGCTAATTGCCCCCGATTGACTGAAATTGGCTTCCAGGCTTCCTGGAAGTTATTGATCGTCTCTGATCGAGGCGATCAAAGTCGATTGGGCCCGCGTCCTCAGACTCGAGCCACGGCCCACGAATTGGTGCGGGAAGGCGGAGTTCCCGTTGGTTTTGAACGGGAAATGTTACTGTAGCGATCCGTGTTTGGAGGGACTTCCTTCCACCCCTCGCTGCGTACTGTTTCCCTTGTGCAGAAAGTGTGTGATCGAATACGTGGAAAGAATCCGTGTTTCGTACTCTATACGTTACCAATGTACCCACATTAAAAAAAATACTGTATGAGTTCAACATGGACACTAGTGCTGCAGCTTGTGCCTCCTCTAGGCCAGGCGACTGAGGGAGGGATTGGTTGAGAGCAACATGCAGACGCGCATTTTCGTGAAGCGTTTATTTCGGTCAGCTGCTTTGCTTCAATTGCTTTCGCATTTGAATGTTAACCTCTACACTGCCATGCTTCGTACCTTCCAAGCCCCAAGTGCCATCATGCATCTCCCTTTCCGTCCTGCAAAATTCCCTTGGTGACTGGACAACTGTGAGCCAGAACAAACTCGGTTCATGCGCTCTGGTGTGCGCGCCGCACGTGGTTTCTCGGCACAACCAGCCGGAACGGACAGCAAGGTATTGGCAACAGTACACCTTCTCACCCGAAAATTGTATAATTCAGCCATACCGAACCATGTCTCACCACTTCAAACCATGCTGTTTAACCCGAAACCAGAAATTGGGTGCAAGGGCGCGGTGCAAATAATTATATATAATGTTTTAATCCCAAAATAATCGAGCCAGTTCGCGAATTTTGTTGAAGTTCGACTTACTGTTTGTTTGGCGTTTAGTATACAATATTTTGTCGTACCCGAACAGTGTTACTGTACAGGCAGTTGCACCATGATCGTGTTTTTACATGCAAACTTGCATACCATAGCGTCTGCAAACGAGAAAATGTCACTGCGGAAAACCGCGCCCTAATAGTCCCTGCTACTGGAGAACCCAAAGTGCGAATGGAAGGCCTTGTTCAGCTACCGTGACGACGAGGCGATTATTCTTCAAGCTATGATCCCCCACAATGCCTCCTACGTCCTCACTATAGTGACACACGGTCTAAACATCACTAGAAGTCGCACTAGTAGTATTGCTACTAGTACGCACTACGAAGTGGATGATTTTACCGCTGCGCCGTACTTTGCGCCATTGGCGACGCGCGGACGACAACACTGTTAGCAATGAAGCGCCGGAAGCACTTAGAAGCCGCGGAAGTAACGGAGTATTGTACAGACCTTACAGAGAAAACACAATCGCCAAGTCACCGCACTTCTCCCACATCGAACTTTTCCCTTAGAAGGACTTGCGCAGGGCGACGGTCCTTGAAACGCGGCGGAAGCAGCGGCGATATCGCCGCCGGCGCTAGTTATACCGGCGAGGCGCTTCGTCTAGCGGAGGGAAAAAAACTGCGCGCTGCATTGGTGCCAACTTGTCTTCCGGAGGATGGTTATACTTGGCTAAAATATGGAGAGAAACCGCTAATGAACCAGCCTAATTGCCTGCGGTGAGTCGTTAGTTGGACAGGGGCTTTACTATGGTTGCGAAGTCAGTTTCACTGAGAATTTTTGGTATGCTCTGTTTGTAATCATTCAGTAATCAGGCGTATTCAATATATTCCCCTTTCAAAACGTCCTGCGTGCTTCCCCCAACTATCAGGTCGTACTTCCGCTGTGCGTGTTCGGGCTTACTAGGAGCGGAGCCATGTCCTGCCAAGCGAACCGTTGATTGGCGTGTCAACACGCAACCGGCCAGTTTCCATGTTTCGTTCACCGGCGAGCACAACCACGGCCCGTCTGCTTTCCCCGCAACGACTCCACCCGCCAGCTCACCTGCTGCCTCCTCTCTCGCCGCGGGTGGTTGCGAAACGGATGGTTCGTTAAGCGCGAAAGTGGCGACAGGTGTGTCAACTAGTTTCTCGGGACGCAGCGATCTCGGATCGACCCTTGTGTCCCGTCGCAGGCCGAACCACGGGTTTCGAAAACTTCCCATGGTTCCGAACGGGTTCGCAAATACCGTCGCACCCGCTCTTGTTCCGGACGATGAGGCGAAAGCTGTTTCTGACAACACTGGCGATGAGCTTGACACCTGCAGAGTTGCTGGTTACAAGCCCAGCAACTACACTGACAACACACAAAATTCCTACACCTACATTTCCATACAAAACAGTAAAATTGCTTCATCCAAAATTCTCTATAAATCTCTGAACTCTTCCACTCCATTGGCATTTTCCGGTGTCGGCCCGCTTATCCCTCCTGCCGGACCGGATTGCGACAATAACTATGGAGAGCAGTGGGTGTATACCACATCAAGTGAGGAATCTCAGCGCCATCCTCAGGCTGAGCATGAGCAATCCAACCAGATGGAGCCACACCACCCTTCAAGCTCACACTCTCCTGCTCCACCATCCGAATCAACTTCATCTGGATTTGAAGTCACGCCCTTTTCAGCAGCTCATCAGTGCCGTGAAGCTGCCACACCGCCGACTCAATTGCCACCAGCAGCAGCAACGGCAGCAACGGCACTTACTGTTCCCACAGGAAATATCCCAAGACATGCTTCCCCTCAGCCAGCTTCACCATCTCATGTCTGCTCAACTCATCGGTCATCCCCTATGCAAGCATACCCTGTACAACCAAATCCAGAACAACGATCTCCTCCTCTTCACCCTCCGCTCCCCCCCTCACCCACTGCTGCTGGTGTCTGCCCTGTTTCTTCTCCCTTCCGTGCTGCTCCTCCTCCCCCTCCTCCCATTTATCCTTCACCCTTCACCAGCGCTGCTGTTTTCTCCTGCTCCAAACCTTTACAAGCAGGATTGCATCAGTTCCAGCCGCCTTATCATGCTCAATACCAGACCCTGCAGCAGCAGCAGCAGCAGCAGCAGCAGCAGCAGCAGCAGCAGCAGCAGCAGCAGCAGCAGCAGCAGCAGCAGCAGCAGCAGCAGCAGCAGCAGCAGCAGCAGCAGCAGCAGCGGCAGCAGCGGCAGCAGCAGGAGCAGGAGCAGGAGCAGGAGAAGGAGCAGGAGCAGGAGCAGGAGCAGCAGCAGCAGCAGCAGCAGGATCAGGAGCAGGAGCAGCAGCAGCAGCAGCAGCAGCAGCAGCAGCAGCAGCAGCAGCAGCAGCAGCAGCAGCAGCAGCAGCAGCAGCAGCAGCAGCAGCAGCAGCAGCAGCAGCAGCAGCAGCAGCAGCAGGAGGAGCAGGAGCAGGAGCAGCAGCAGCAGCAGCAGGAGAATCAGCAGCAGGAGCAGCAGGAGCACCAGAAGCAGCAGCGGGAGCAGCAGGAGCAGGAGCAGCAGCAGCAGGAGCAGCAGCAGCAGGAGCAGCAGCAGCAGCAGCAGCAGCAGCAGCAGCAGCAGCAGCAGCAGCAGGAGGAGGAGGAGCAGCAGCAGCATGAACTTCAACCATGTTACCAGGCATACCAACAACATCAGCACCAGCACCAGCACCAGCACCTGCAGCATGAATTTCAAGTACCTGAGGCCCATCATCCATCCCTTCAGCATCATTATCATCAGCAGCAGCAGCAGCAGCAGCAGCAGCAGCAGCATGTGGTGCTGCCAGGGGGGGGCAGCTTCGATGAGCAACCTTCACAGCCACCACAGCAGCATCTTCCTTTACCATCCCCTCCTCCACCTCTCCCAGTACAGCCACCAGCAGCCCATTTTCTCAGCCCACCTTCTTCTCAGCCCTCCCTCCAACCACCACCAAATCAGCCATCACCCCCTCTTGTGAGCAATTCCGCAACGATACCATATCCACCCCCCCCACATGCGTCTTCATCGTACCCACCTGGACCATATGCACCTTCCCCATACGCATCCACACCAAGCCAACCGTTCAACGTGCCTGCAGCAAAACCCGCCCACTGCTGCTGCTGCTGCAACTGCGGTGAAACGAACCCCATAGAGCCTCCTCCTCCTTCCATGACTGCCAATCCAGCCGAGGAAATATCATTTCTGGAACGTTGTGAGACGTCTTTGAACTCAGCCCAACCAGCAGCAGCAGCAGCAGCAGCAGCAGCAGCAGCAGCAGCAGCAGCAGCAGCAGCAGCAGCAGCAGCAGCAGCAGTGGGACCAGCAGCGGCAGCGGCGGCGGCGGCAGCACCAGCAGTGTCGGCAGCACCAGCAGCGTCGGCCGTGACTGAAACGCCAGACGGCTTGCTCACAAGAGCAGCTCAGCACACGATTCTTGAGACGCCTCAAAAACCAGCCATGGCTGCAACGGCAAACGGCTTGCCCAGAGCAGCAGCTCAGCACATGGACGTGCCACCGCCCACCTGTTTTCAACCTGTATCTGTGTGCTTTGCGGGGGAGCATGGTTATGGGAAGACTCAAGATCCGACATTCCCGTTACCGCCCACCGGACGTCAACCAGCTTCTCTGACCTTCGTGCCGAGTCATGCTTGCTGCCCACCTGTTGCAGCAGGTTTTGAGAATTCTCAAAATTCGGCAAGTCACGCACTCGAGAATTCTCAGAGGGCAAGAGATTTTCAGCCTCCCACCTGCTTTCAACCTTCTTCTGTGCCCTTTGCACCGGGCCACGCTTTTCGGAATTCTCAAGATCGCCACGCTCGGTTTAGTGTTACAGCAGAGATTCCTGGTAACCACCCTCCTGATCATGACCTCAGCTACCTGGGTTCAGCGGTCACTATGGTTACAGGGTTACCACAAGTGGATGTTGCTGCCCCCTTGCTGCAATTCTCCAGTGCTGCTGGGGATTCCTCAACTGAGCATGCTCGGCTTTCTTGCACCACCATTCCTGCTAACAAATCAGCTATTCTTTTGGATACAACTGCTGACCCGTCCTCGTTACAGCGCGATTCAGTTGAAGCTGCGAGAGGACCTGCTCTTCCAGCTGCTGAGGGTGGCATTTCTTATTTCGCTAATAGACTGGTGGAGGATATTTTTGGGGGCTGCAGTAATGGTGGTGACGAAGTGGAGGTGAGGAATAATAGTAAATCGTCTCCTGTGCAGAGCAACGTTACGGAATATGGAGCTTTGTTTGACATAGATATAGCCATAGAGGAGGGGCTCTGGTTCAATCCCTTAGCTGATCTTAGTTGTAATGCTAACGAGAAGTTGCACTAGGTTGCGAAGGCAATGCTTGAAAAAAAAAAAAAAAAATGTTCGTTTGTGTGCTTTTGTTTTTTTTTTTTTCAGAAAAAACATTATTATATGATCACCATAATCCCCTGGATAAAATACCCTAGGGCTTATGATATTCTCATTAGTATTTCAATGAGTCTTAGGGCATTAAAAAATGAGAATTTGGGTCTGATGATTGTTGGGCTGAGAAAAGCCCTTAGGATCGTTTTCAAGACTAAAGTCTCAGAGTAATGATGTATTAGCGGAAGAGTAATAGTGAACTGATTGAACCACCTTGCACTGGTATGTGAGAACAAGATGAGTTGATAATAACAAAGAGATACAAGCTTTTATATTATTACAAGGAATACGAAAGGTTTAACTAACTGTAACTGCTATTGCGGTTCGATACAGCGACGACTCGGGTAACTGCTCAATATCGAGTCAGTTATGTGTTCTTGCTGTCGCGCTGCCTTCGGCGAGTCAAAGGTCACTGACCTTTGACCTTCTCTCAACCTCTTGCTGTTGTCTTTCTATCAACCGCTTTGGTTGACTCGCTGTTGCTTCGCTTTAGTTTGCTTCACTTTCGTTGTAGTGCTCGACACACCAGAAGCGCGAACTATATGTTTCCAACACTCCCCTTCGCTTCTGGAATGTCGTCGCCTTCGTTGCTGATGACGTGGCTTTGTCCAGTCAGCAGCATGCAGTACTCGAACTTCTGCTTTCCGAGTTTCTTGGTCAAGTAATCTGCTGCCATCTCGGACGTGGGGCAGTAGGATAGCTCGAGTCTCCCTTTCTCGATCTCGTCCTTCACGAAGAAATAGCGCAGGGCAATGTGCTTCGTTCGGTTCGCGAACCCGCTCTTGTTCGCTATGCGAATTGCAGATTGGTTGTCGCAGAAGAGGGAGAAGCTGGGTAACTGGGCCAGCTTTGCTTCGTCCAGTAGTTCGCGAAGGTACAGTCCTTCCTTGGTGGCTGAGCAGAGTGCTATATATTCAGCTTCAGCAGAGGAGAGAGCAATTAGTTCTTGCTTGCTTGACTGCCACGAGATAGGACCGACGGGCTCGAGTCGATAGATGTAGCCGGTGCGCGATCGCCTGTTATCAGAATCGCCTGCGTGGTCAGCATCCACGTAGCCGATTAGCTTTCGAGTAGTGGTTCCGGTCTTGTGGTAGGTTAGGCCGATCGTTGGCGTGCTGACGAGGTAGTGTAAGGCGTGGTCGAGTTCGGCCATGTGCTCTGCTTCGGGTCGCTTGAGGTGGGTAGCAAGCTGATGTGAATTAAGAAAAACAGGAATGAGAATGACTAAGTGAAAGTTGGGTACAAGAAGCAAACCCTAGAAAACTGTACCCCATATGTGCTACCCCACTCTAGCCTACAGTAGCTATGTCATATAAATCTGACACACCCCCATAGGCAAAGTGGGGGAGAACAAGGGGTCACAAGACCAGTCAAGCAAAGCAAAGCAAAAACAAGCTCAGGGTGGATCACAAAGTCACCACACATTCCGAGCACAAGTTCAAGGCCACAAGGCCAGTTCACAAGCAGGAGTACACATATATATAAAAAAAGGCTAGACAAACAAGAGCAGGTATATATATATGTAACAGTACAAGCAAGGTCAAGAGGTGAGCAAGTGAGGCAAGGTAGGCACAAGGCCCAGCTGAGTACAGAAGCGCTGATGGTCACAAGGCGCAAGTGCCTTGGTGAAGATATCAGCAGTGTTGGCCTCAGAGGCCACGTACGCAAGACGCAGCTGACCACGCTGCTGCAGCTCACGAGCAAGAAAGTAGCGGAGAGCAATGTGCTTCGTTCTGTGCTCCAGTCGCTGCTCCCGACACAAGGCCAGCATGGCCTTGTTGTCTACGTACAGCACTAGAGGAGAACGAGGCAACTCTCCGAGGTCAGTCAGCAGGTAGGTGAGCCAGCGAAGCTCCTGTGCAGCCATGGCTCCTGCGTAGATCTCAGCCTCACAACTGGAGCCGAGAACAGAAGACGAGCGAGTAGCCCGCCACGAAACAGAGCCGGAACCAAGGCTGAAGGTGTAACCCTGTGACGACCGCTGCGTAGCCTGGTCGTCAGCCCAAGAAGCGTCTGCGTGCCCAGTAAGGACCACTGGACTCTGCCCTCCAAGCACAAGCCCCATGCCCGACGTACTGCACAAGTAGCGCAACACCCTCTTCGCTGCAGCCATGTGCTCCGGTCTGTGTCTCCCAGGAGCAACATAGCGTGCAAGAATGCTAAGAGGGTATGCAAGGTCAGGTCGTGTGCAGGTCATCAGGTACATGAGGCAGCCAACAAGCTCTGGGTACGGGCCACTCGACTCTACGGACTCATCCGAAGGCAGAGCTGAGAGCGAGTGGCGAGTAGGCAGAGGAGTGGCCTGAGGCGAGGAGTACGTGAAGCCGAAGCGCTGAAGGACCTGCTGCACCATGTGTGACTGAGTCAGGGTAATGGTGCGGCGTGCTCTGTCCCGAGTGATCTGCAAGCCAAGGTAGCTGCGCAGTTCACCCAGGTCAGTGCACGTGTGTCTCTTCTGCAGCTCGGACTTCACGTGGGCTAGTCCAGCAGTGTCAGCTGTGGCAAAGACCAAGTCGTCGACGTACACGAGGATGTAGAACAGCGGCAAAGAAGTGTCGGTGCGCAGAAACAACGACGGGTCGGCAGTAGAGGGAGCAAACCCAAGAGCCGCAAGTGTAGTCCTCAGTGTGTCGTGCCACTCACGCGGTGCCTGGCGGAGACCGTAGACTGGCCGCCGTAGGCTCCACTGGGTGCCAGGAGGAAAAGACCCAGTGAAGCCAGGTGGGCGACGCAGCCAGATCTCCTCGTGCAGGCTGCCCTGCAAGAAAGCAGTGCTGAAGTCAAGAGAGTGTAGCTCGTAGTCACGGTGAGCAGCTACGTGCAGCAGTACCCGAAGAGTGGTCATCTTCGGGGTGGGAGAGAAGGTCTGAAAGTAGTCAACTCCCTGCCGCTGACTGAAGCCACGAGCCACGTAACGCGCCTTGAAGACAGGCGGAGAACCCGGCGGCCGCTTCACCCTGAAAATCCACATGCCACTGACGATGTTCGCCCCAGGCGGGGGAACCTCGTCAACGTAGGTGCCTGTGGACTTCCAGGAAGCCATCTCTGCGTCCATAGCTGCCTGCCACTGAGAGGAGTAGGGACCCTCTATCGCCTCCGCGTAAGAGCGCGGAGTCGGGATGTCAAGTGCATCCGGGTCTCCCTCAGGGGTAAGCAGTACGGACACGAGATGAGGTGAAGCAGCTGCCAAGCACTGGAACTCCTCCTGCCTGTCCTCAAGGACGTCCGTGCCAAGGGCACACTCACCCCCGACGGACGGAGGACAGACAGACTCAGACTCAGCAACAAGACTGGCGACGTAGTCTAGGCGACAGCGAGCAGCAAAGTCGACGAGCTCAGCAACTAGAGCAGACGCAGCAGTGGACTCAAAGGAAGGGTCAGTGACAACCGTAGCAAGGAGACGCGTGACAGTAGGACTGGCAGCGCGAAGAGAGTCCGACTCCGGGTCGGCAAGAGTAGGAAGAGAAGACTAAGGAGGAGAAGGCAAAGGGGCACGCAGAGGAGCAGTGGACGGACGCAGAGACATCCGGTGCGTGCCAGGGATAGGAGGAGGACGCTGACGCGAACCGCGACCACTAGTGCGAGCAGCACGGACAGGCGACGCAGGGCGAGACGCAGGCTCACGACGCTCAGCAAGACCTCCAGTAGGACCAGTGTAGGGAGACGGAGCAGGCAGTGGGGAGGCCGGCTGTAACTGTAACTGCGACGGGACAGGCTGTGGACACTCTAAGGGAGGAGGAGGACCAGTAGAAGGCGGGAG